TTAAAGGAAGAGGAAATTCAATCTCATTCCTTAAAGAACTAATCCCCCGGTTTAGGAAAGATATGGATAACATTTTTACTCTTTTAATGACAAGCCATAATTTACCATATTTATTTCCCCCAATTTCTCTACAATTGATTAAAATATTCGCTTTTAAAGAGATAAGATCTTATTCAAAGTTTTCTTAATTTTCATTATTTTTTCATTCAATGTGATTTAATTTTCATGTAATTTTTTACCATTAATTTAGCAGATTTATTTCTTTGTAATGCACATGACATACTCTATAACTAAGTTTTCAATTCACAATTGTAATCATTCAAGTTTGAGAATAATAAAATTATGAAATTTTAGTTTTCAACTAGTTAGGTTTCGTCAACCTTCTTGTTGAGTGAGAATTGATTTAACTTATCAAACTAAATTCTTGTGGTGTTTTATCAATTTTCTTTCGAATTGATTTCTAACTTATCAAGTCCATACTTGTGATTTTTTAATCAATTTTAACTATCTCAATTACCTTGGTTGACATTCACATATTTGAATGTAGGTCAAGTAGGGAGCGTTTGTTGAAAGTTTTATGATACTGAATACTGATGTTATATGTGGGGTTCTTAATCGTGTTAATTGATCCTAAGTTCCGTATTATCATGGTAACAGGTGGGTCCCACAAGTTTTGGAACTTGACTTCCACAGTGATGAGTTCTATTTAAGTCACTGACAAAGATCTTGAACTCTTGTTCTTAAGTTTGATAATTCCATGAGCTTATTGCTGCAAATGAGGCGTTCAAAGTAAAAGTTATAGTTCTGTTTGAAGGTGCCAAATCTCATCTCAGGAGGTCCTTATTCCAACTTGAGGAACTAGAATTGTAAACTATCTTGCAAATGGATAGAATCAAGGCTAACTTTAATCGCTTTTGGTGTCCACTAGTCTCGAAGAAAATGCTCACACTAGTTTAGCCAACCGAGTGAATTTGTTTGGCCGTGAAACCTGTGAAAATCAAGTTTTGAGTACAAAAGAACATATCCTTACCTTCGGCTATCTCAGTTGCATGCTCCTGCCTCTAGTTTCTGCAGTTACTACTACCCTTTGGAGCTTGCAAGGTCATCAAGTTTGACACCAGAGAATTCTTGGATAGAAGGTCAAGCTGCATAGTCAGCTCCTTTTGCTTTGCTTCCATTCTTTTTCACTCTCCGCATATTATAGTCATGGGTTTAGTCTTCTGTTACAGTCCCTACTTATGAATCTGTTATGAGTCTATAAACATAGAAATCAGTATGATCTTTCTGGGGATCTTGAATTTTTCCTCCCTTGCTTATCTTTAATCTAGTTTAAGAACTCATTAAGAGAGAACTCTACAATCTCTCGATTAGGAAAGTACCCAATATTTGAATAGAAT